ATATATATATATATATATATACATATTTAATTTGTTACATGCTTCTCATTCGGTATTAAACTTAACTTTTAGATGTTTAATGTATAATTTTTTAGTAATCACTCAGAGAATCAATAATCATCGAAATATATATATATATATATATAAAGGTCCGATACGATACGGTTTCGAACATCCGATTCGAAAGGAAGATGCGATACAACGTGACACCAATACAATTGACACTCGGTCAAATGTTGAATTATCACTGCCGTTCCAGCTATTACAAAATCTTTCGACATCGTAATGTTGCGATGAACGAAATGAAAGCACAGCAAGGCAAGTAATTGATAATTAATCGGTAAGGACGATTACATTATAAAGTCGGTGGTTAATCAGATCGATTGGAAGCAGAGAGAGAGAGAGAGAGAGAGTGTGAACGCGCACAATTGTCTCGTCAAGAGAAGAAATCAGTCAACAGAAGAAATACGATTGAATTGATACGAAAGTCGGAAACTCACAGAATACAAATAACGTTTTGGTGTTGTCCATACGACGCGACATCCTTCTCCCCTTGCGTGTACTCCGTACGGCGATAGATGGAAATAACGAAACAAATATCTGTCTGATCCGTCTGGGCTCGGTTGTGTCGACCGCGCACGTCTATATAAGACGATTCGACGATTTCACCTAGACGAAGTACGCGAAGCTTATGTGCCGGACGCGAAAGCTCAGGCGCATATGGATCGATAATTGAAGCTTTCAGCATGCGCTGCGTAGCTGCTGCTCATACACATGCAACGTGCAAAAGCGGAACAGGAATACGATTCGTTCGGTGTTTCTCTTCGGGGTGGCGTTGCTGATGACGTTGAATGTCGGCGTTGGCGTTGGCGTTGGCGTTGGCGTTATCGTTATCGTTGGCGTTGGCGTCGCCAGCGCTGTTCATCAATTTTATGTATATTTTAGGTACACGCTACTTCGACTTTACAATGGAGCCACGATGAATGGCATGGTATCGATCGATATTCGACGACGTTTAAGATGAAATTCCGTGATATTCGCGTGTCCCATCGCTGATGGCTGAAGTAGTTCTCTCATTCCAGCAAGAATGAACTCGCGGTTTTATCTACGGCTCGTAAATAAAATCACCCCAAGCGCCCCACTTATGGGCGCTGCATTTAAACTTCGAGTCTTGGGATTTTAAAGATCCGATCGAACTTTTTAGAATAGAATATACGCTCGACCTAGAAATAGGACGAAACTTGCAACTTTGTTTCGTCATTCGATACACAAGCTAGCACGGGCTCTGAGTAGAAATCGCGGTAATGACGTTGGTCATTTCCATGTTTGTCGACGTCATCGTCTCTCTAGCTTTCGTTCATTTGCACGATTACAATTGCACGATTACAATTTCACCCGAAGCCAATAAATTGATATCGAAATATTATTATATACACTTTTGAGCTATGACACGTGTCACCATATTATATTATTATAATAAACGTCAATAAACAATATATAATATATAATAAACACGTAACAAATTTCACATCCGCTTTCGAATTATTATAGTTTATTATATTATTTAATGCACGTTACGGAATGCTTGATCTCTAATTAGTTTGATTTAGGATAATTATAAAAGTAAGGAAACAAATTACACACACACACACGCACGCACGCACGCACGCACAATATACAGTGGATATAACGTGAAAAGGCGAAAGAATAACAAGCGAGAGAATTTGTATTAGCATAAAGGCAATGCAACTCTGAAAGGTGAAAGGCCAAATGAATCTTATTGAAATAAATATGAATGATCAACGCCAATTTAAATACAGTGCTACTCGATACTCGATGCTCGATGCTCGATACTCGATGCTCGATACTCGATACTCGATACTCGATACTCGATACTCGAAGCAGATGGCGCATCCGCATAGCAAGAGAAGAGATATATGTTTGCACCGCCTTCCACTAGATGTCTACGTTGAAGCTTCGTTGCTTCGTCTCGAACAACGATTCTCCCAACTAACGATAAGTTCGTTTTCACCGGTCACGATCGCGCAGATCTGAGAGACAGAAACAAAACAAGACACTCTGGGCATAGTTCAGCCTGCGTGAGTAAACTCGAGTTACTTGGTTACGAGAAAGAAGTGGAGAGGTCCGAATTTGGAGGTCGCGGAAGTATAGATATAGATTGATGATGATTGACAAAGGTTGTTAACGATTTTTCCGAGCGGAGGACTATGTTGGCTCTCAGAGTAAGGGACGAGGGGATATCAAGGGCCAAGTGAACTGCGTGCGTAGTGAGAGGAGAATTATTTCTGATTTACAGGCGAACGTCGTCGATCGTTTCGCAGTTACTTTCGCAGTTGTACGACCCATAGTTGAGAATTTCTTCGTTCAAAAGAGTTTCGCTGTTACGTCTGTCAATCAGCCTGAAGCAAAGA